TGGCGGAAACATGTTATCGCTAAAAAGCGCATCGTCAAAACTCACTTTTCTTGTAGTAACATTCGGTAAGTACGAAAATAAATTCAATAAATGTTTTTTATTAGTATAAAATTGAGTACAAGAAATGCTAATAATTTACTGATGAAAGAAAATCTTATTTATCTTTATTATATATATATATATAAGAGTACTTAAATTTACGTACTTTTTATTAGGTAATTTAAAACCAAGAGTATAGAAACTATGGTTGATAATTTTTTATAAAAAGTAAGAATTTTTTTAGTTCATAACAAGAAATATGCGTTATTTTGATATAAAAAGATAATTCGTGTGAATGAAGTAATCATTAGAGTCAATGAGAGATCAATAAGAAAGAAGATTATCAAGGTTTTCTTGACAAGTAAACAAATGARGATCAATAAAAATATAAAAGAAAAAAAATGATCCATTGAGATCCAATAAGAATAAATAATGAAATTAACATATAATATACAAGCTCAACAAATGATTGTTTGAGCACTTAAATAGAATCTTATGGTGTGGTGGAATCTCAATGAAAGATACATAAGTCATACAATCGATGAAAACATTTAAATTATATTTTCCTTCTTTTTTTGCTCAACTATAATAAGATATTAAAATTTTTTTTGATTAACCTGGATATCCAACCCGCTATGCGAGCCGACTAATCCCAGGACGACCACCTGTTTTGCAGATAGCCCGGAGTCACCGCATTTGAACCTCCGTAGCCACAAGGGGATTTTTATTCCTCCTTGGATTTGAACCTGAGACCTCCTGGTAATTTTGACCTTTGGAGCCAAACTCAAACCAATTAGGCACCACCCTTGTGGTTAAGATTAAAATTTTATGGAACATGACATATATAAGAGACATTACTAAATATATCTAGTAGAAAAAATTAACCTAAACCCTAAACTCGAAACCGAAAACTGAATGAAAATCCTAACTCAAACCCTATACCAAAAAAACTAAATTCAAACGGATCTCAGTTTTGTTGTAGTGTATGTTGGTGGAGACATGTCAGTTTGAAGCCATTCCCAGTTAAGCTGATGCAGTTTTGTTGAAAATGGCATCCTACCAACTTGTTAAAGTTTTGGTGGACGTTTATTTTTCACTGTATTTATATCTATCGTATCTTATTCTCAATCAAATCCTTGCTATTATTTATTCTATTATTTAATTAATTGCAGCAGGTTGAGGGTCCATAATCCAACATAAAAAACAAGACATGGGATTTCATTCAATTAAAGAAAGGGATGCATGTTCTTCCCACTTTAAACCTGGTTAATTGTATCGAGTCTAAGGCTCCACAACTGAGTATATATATAATCCTATTTCATTCAGTGTTCTGAATGTGGCTGAATAAGGGCACGTGAAAAGCCTGAGTCTTTTTTCCTTTTGAAATGATATAGTCCATCCCAATCTTCCCAAAAAGACATTCTATATATAGACAAGCTAAGGTCTGTAAGGTTACACCATCACAAGCTGTATGGATTATAAGAAAAGAGAAATGGCTTTGCAAAATGGTGATCAGCTATCCAGCGACTTGTTTCATTCTCAAGCTCACATATGGAACCACATTTTTAGCTTTATAAACTCCATGTCACTAAAATGTGCAGTTCAGCTACAGATACCTGATATCATCCATCATCATGGTGCACCAATGTTGCTTTCTGAGTTAGTCGAAGCCCTCTCCGTTAACAAGGAGAGATCAGATTTTGTTCATCGACTAATGCGCATCCTTGTTCATTCTGGTTTCTTCCTGAAACAAACTATATCCACGACTGAAGGAGACGAGGAGGAGGAGAAAGAAGTCTATTTGCTAGCTCCTGCTTCTCGTCTCCTTCTGAAGGGAGAGTCATTAAGCATCAGACCCTTTTTGCTAGCCATGTTGGATCCAATATTGATGGATCCATGGCAACACATGACCAACTGGTTTCAAAATAATGATGACATCTCCCCTTTTCAGACAACCCATGGGAGGAGTTTCTGGGACTTTGCAGGCCAGGAGCCAAAGCTTAACCAGTTCTTTAATGAAGCAATGGCTAGCGATGCAAGACTTGTTACAGATGCCATTCTTAAACACTGTAGGGGTGCTTTTGAAGGGCTGAATTCAATTGTTGACGTTGGTGGTGGTACTGGGACAGTTGCCCAAGCTATTGCCAAAGCTTTTCCCAGACTTGATTGCATCAGCTTTGATCTTCCTCATGTTGTCAATGGTATGGAAGGAAGCAACAATTTGAGGTATGTTGGTGGAGACATGTTTGAAGCCATTCCCAAAGCTGATGCTGTTTTTGTGAAGGTATTACCCATCTCACACTAGAASTTATCTATTAAGCAATTTGGATGCTGTTTGACACTTCTGTAATGGAAATAAACAGTGGATACTGCATGATTGGAGTGACGAAGAATGCAGAAAGATATTGAAGCGATGCAAAGAAGCGATTCCGAGCAAAGGAAATGGCGGAAAACTGATCATCATCGACATGGTGGTGAAGAACCATGAAGTGGATAGTGCTGAATCACTCCAGACACAGCTTTTCTTTGATATGCTTATGATGACATTGGCCACCGGAAAAGAGAGGACCCAAGAAGATTGGATAAAGCTTTTAGTTGATGTAGGATTTAGTGATTGTAAATTCTCTCCAATTTTGGGGTTAAGGTCGCTCATAGAAGCTTACCCATGATACTTATGAAGTTGATTATAAGCCATATTGCTTTCTGTACAACTTAATTGCTGATGAAGCTACTAAAATAATAGAGTTGTTTGTTATAATGTCTTATTCTTGTCTTAATTGCTTATGTGCTTAATTATCATGTTACTGTTAAATGGAAAGATGAAGACGATGAATATGAAAGAGAAGGATACATAACTGTATTGCATATGTAATCGGAAACAAGGCATGCAGAATACTTATAATCATTCCGTTCCTATTTTTTTTAGGTAGGCCCTGTTACACACCATAGATTGACACAAGGGTTGATAAATAAATTAAAATATAAAATATATCGTGTTTATATATATATATATAAATATATATATATATATATATATATAAATACGATATATTTTATATATATATATATATATATATATATATATATATGGGCTTATTCAAGAAAAAACTGACTAGTTTGTGGTAACCGTGAGATCCAATCTCAACCATAAATCAATAGATAAATTATAAAACTTATAATTTTGAATTAAATTTTTAATGCAAGGACATTTTAGGTATTTTCTCTCCTCTCTCCGTCCCTCGTCCTCCTGTGATACCTAAAAATATTGATTATGTTAAACAAAAGACACAATGTGATACCTAATCACATATAAAATGCATAGTGATACCATCTCCGATCGACCATACAAACGACCTCAATGTGATACACAAGCACGTATAAGATGCATTGTGATACCACTGTGGTATCACCGGAGGACGGTGGACGGGAGACGGAGAGAGGAGAGTTTTAAAATACCTAAAATGTTTTTACATTAAAATTTTAATTCAAAATTACCAAAATTATGAATTTCATAATTTATCTATTGATTTGTGGTTAAGATTGGACGTCATGGTTACCATAAACTAATTAGTTCTCATTTGATTAGGCCTCCATATATATATATATTAAAAGTCTTACAATTAAAACAACAAAAATATTATAAAATGATAAAGTAACTTATGAAATTTTCAAGTCACTTAAATAAAGTCATTCTTCTAACATTTTTCGCAACAAAATCTTCAACGAGTTCATCATAATCAACCTTCTCCAAAGAGTCATTTTTAATAGCTATCAATGCTAGCCGTTTAAGTCTATCTTGTGTCATTTTAGAGCGCATATAAGACTTCAACACCTTCAACTTTTGAGAAACTTTTTTCTGCAGATGTAACAATTACATGAATTTTCAACAAAACTCTATAAACAATAATAGCATTAGGAAAACAATCTACATGTTTTAAATACTCTAAAATGTCACCAAGTCTCATCTTTTGATTGGATAAAACATCTTGAAGTAACTTTAGTTTAACATATAGGTCATTCTCATCAAAATCAGATTGGTCTTGTTTTTTAAGGGCACTTTCGAAATTAGTACAAGCAGACTTTAAACATGCATTATCTAAAGAGCGCAACTTATCGGAAGTAAATGAAAACCCAAACATATTCTCATATTCTTGGCATTGTTCAAATCTCCTACGTAATGAAGCAATTGCATGAGCAACAACACATAAAAAACAATTAACTCTAAATGACTCATTTGCAAATTGTGAAGTAACTTCAGATGCATCACTTGGATTTTTCATCAAATTATCTTTTCCTTCGAATTTCACGCCTTTGAGGAAACAATGGATCAATATCCAATTCAATAGCAATTTTCTTTGTTGATTCTATAACATCTTAAAACATGTATCTCTGTATCTCTCAGAAAAAGAAATTAGCCCTTAATTTGTTCACTAGCAACGTCATTTAGCATATTTTTTGATTGTAAATACTTATTAACCAAACTAGTCGTGTACCCGCGCAATGTGGCGGGAGCCATGAATTTTAACGATTTTGAAGTTTCATTGGTTTTATAAGATAAGATTTGACGATGATATATGTTACACTTGGTCTTTACATATTAATAAAATTTGAATAAATAAGAGTTATGGTTCCAATTATAGACTATTGATGAAAAAAATTGTATGACAGTTTAAAATCCAATATATTTAAAATCCAACATATTTAAACGACTCCACAAATATGTTCGATTTACACCAAGAGCAAAGAACCAAGAAACTTGAGTTTCAAGATAAACATTCAAAACCAATAAATAAAACTACAAATTTGACAGATCATAAGCCATGAAAAAACCAAAAAAATGGGTTTTAGAATGAAATTTCAACTGCTTACCCTCTTT